ATATTGTAGGGGGGGGGGGGATTCCCTCAGCCCAGCCTGCACCCTCTCCAATCGGACATACCTCTCACAATCTGGGACCGCTGGCTCCTAACCACTCACCTGCCTGCCTGATTGCCCCTAACTGCCTCTGCCTACTGGCTTGATTGCCCCTAACCTCTCTGCCTGCCTGTCTGATCACCCCTAACTGCTCCCCTGCCAGCCTGATTGCTCCCAATTGTTCTCCCCTGCCAGCTTGATCGCCTCTAACTGCCTCTGCCTGACTGATCGCTCCTAACTGCCCTCTCCTGCAGGCCTGATCTTGCCCCCAACTGCCCTCCCCTGCCCTCCTCCCTCCTGTCAGGGTCCAGTTTGAGGGCCAGCCATGCCTCCAATCACGGGAGACCCAGAGTTCCAACGCATCCCAGCCAGCCGGGGCCCACAGCCCCCTCCTGCCGTGGGCGCTGCAGTGACCCAGGACTCACTGCCACTGCAGGTGCTCTGAGGACAGGATCTTCCCACAGGCCTCACCGGAAACAGCTCAGGGAGGACACCCCAGGGCCAGTGGGACTGACGGAAGTGGGTGTGTGGCATGGAGGTGGTGCCTGTGCTTCTGTTAACTTACACAATGTGTTTTATACCACAGCATGTGGTGGTGGCCATGAACGGCACCAAGCAGAGCCTCCGGGCCGAGCTGCAGCAGTGCCTGTGGGCCATCAGGAGAGCTCATATCCGCCACCGCCATGAGGGGAGTACAGGCCGCCCTCCGCAGGGCTCTGCCACCCCCGCCCCTGTCCCCGCCACCACAAGTCCCTACGACCCGAGCCTGCCGCACGCTCAGCCTGGTGTTTGGTTGTCCCTCTGGTCATTTTGGATGTTACGGACCCTGGCTCTTTATAGATTAGGATTAGCATGTAATAAAATTGGTCTTTTTGGTATACAGCTGTATGAATGTTAACACATATACACAGGGCAGGGCAAGAGTAGGTTTACAGATGTGAGAACGTGAAACACAGAATTTATTCTCATATTATTATTTATTAACTAGTGACCCGGTGCATGGATTTGTGCACATTGAAAGGAAATTAATTAGAAGGTGGTTGGTGGGGCGGGACTGGGTGAGATGGGCCGGACACACCCTGAAGCCAATCTCCTGCAGTCCCTCCCCAGCATCTGCAGAGCGAGAGGGATCCCTCTGGCAGGTGGGGTCCCTCGGCCTGGCCTGTGGGGATAGGGCCAAAATTGGCTCTCTGGCATCCCCTGAGCAGTCCCGGAGTGTTGAGAGGGCACTCTGCAAAGTTGCTGTCGTACAGGGTGTGGAACACAAATGCAAGTGTGCAGTAAACAAGATTTGGAGATGACAGTGCCCAGCAACAACATAACCCACAGCTGAAGGTGGAATCATGGGGCTCCGTGAGGAATCGGACTCCCTCCTCTCTGGTTTTGGGGTGCATCACCCGAGAACGGCCACTGCCAAGTCACTGCAGCTCAGCAGCTCCTGCATTGAGCGTCTGCTCCCTGATGGTCAGTATGTGTCATAGCAACCGGTCGGACAGAGGGAGGGACACTTAGCATATTAGCCTTTTATACATATAGATTGTTGTATTACTTTCCTTAGGCACAACTGTGAGCCTATGTCATAGATTCACATAATCATTACGTTGGGTTCCCTTTAGTGCTCTCCCTCTGCCTGTCACACCCACCCCAGCCCCAACCCAGGGAAGCCACAGACCTCTCCTATCCACAGTTTTTCTCTTTATAAAAATATCATATAAGCAGAAAAATGTAACCCTTTGAGATTATATTTTTACTCAGCATAATGCTTTGAGATTCATCCAAGTTATTGTGTATCTCAGTGGTGTTTTCTTTGTTAGGTATTGAGAAATATTTAATTTTTGCATCACAGCTATTTTATGACTGATTTGGCCTATGCCAGTGACCATTGTATTACCCATCAGCCCAGAATTCACTATTCTCAACCGCTGCAGACAAAGGACTGGCCCTCGAAGCACTTGGTTCTCACCAAGAGTGAAGGCGAAGCTTTATGAGCAGAGGAAGCTGGAGGGCACTGCTCTCCATGACCCAGCATGGGCGTGTGAACACAGCTCTTGATGGATTCAATTTGCTAATGTTTTCTTAAATATTCTTTTGTCAATGTCTATAAAGAATGTTCATCTGTAGTTTTCTTTTATTAGTTTTGGTATTAGGAAAATTCTGGTCACATTGGATAACTTTGGAAATGCTCCCTTACCTTCTATTTTCTGGTAGAAATTTTGTAGAATTGGTGTCAATTTTTTAATGTAATTAAATGTTTGGTAGAATTAAACAGTGAAACATTCTAGGTCTGAAGATTTATTTTTTTGGAAGTTTTAAACTATGAAATCAATTTATTTATTAGTTCTGCACAATTCAGGTTATCTATTTTATCTTAAGTGTGCTTTGATACCTTATGGTTTTTTTTTCTATCAACAATTACTTTAATTGCAAAATAAATTAAATGCTCTAATCAAAAGACATATGGTAGCCTAATGGATAACCACACAAGATCCTTACATATGCTGTGTGCAAGAGACTCGTTTTTTTAAATAAATCTTTATTGTTCAGATTATTACAGTTGTTCCCCCTTTTTCCCCCCATAGCTCCCCTCCACCCAGTTCCCGCCCCACCCTCTGCCCTTACCCCCGCACTGTCCTCATTCATAGGTGTACGCTTTTTGTTGCCGTGTCATACACATGGAAAATGTAGCTATTTCCATCTGCAACGTGTCCCTGTGTTCAGCCACACAGGGACCGTCTCAGCCTCACAGGGGCCATCTCAGCCTCGCAGGGGCCGTCGCAGCCTTGCAGGGGGTGCCGAATCCCACGTTGGGGGTGAAGGTGTGAGACAGAAGCTCCTCTCTCTGTCTCTCCTCCTGCTCCCTTGCATATCGCTGATGTTGGAAGTTTCTGAGAACAGTCTGCAGGTGCTGGACATCATACTTTAACTGGTCAACACGAAGTTTGGCATTCTGTCTTTTGTTGGGCGGCTCCTTGCTGGACAAAATATCCAGGCGTTCTTGCTGGCTGAATATCTGGTATGCTTGCTTGGATTTCGTTTTCTACTAAGTGCACAGACTGCTTGTCTGCCGTCTCCCAGTGTCCCATGTGAGACTGGATCTGGTGGACCTGCTTGTGCGTTTCGAGGAGTTGAAATCTGCAGTTTGTTGGGTTAAGCTTCAAAAGCACAGGTGGTTCCTTGTGCCAATGGCACAGCTTGAGCGGTGATGTAAATTGAGTAGGGCGGGGTCTCAGGGAATCACCAGGGCAGAGCAAACAGCAATGGCATCTCCTCGACTCCTCGCCTCTCCGCGACCCGAGTGCCGGCGAGCAGCTCCGCGAGAAAGCCACCCTCGCTTTCCGACCCACTGCAAGGCCATCCTGCCTCTCCCCGTAGGGGTCTGGGACTTCAGAATCCCGCCCCAAACAAGCTCAGTGGATTCGAATGTTTGTAACCCCTTTCGATTGAAAAAAAAACGAGCTTCCAGTTGCAGCCGCCTGGTGCGCGACTCCGTACCTCTGTTCTTGGGGCCTCTGCATATCCTACTCAGTCTCAATGCTCTTCTTTCCTTCCTTCCAGTTGTAGAACTTCCACTGGGCCAGATTTCCCATGGTTCTGAATGATAGCTGTTTTGTCTTATAGTTGGTATTTTCAATGTTGTTGTGGGAGGCAGCACGCACAGGTCTGTACCTTACACCGCCATCTTTAATAATTTGTTTATTTTTATTTAGGTTGCCGAATATGTGTCCATATAGTTATATATACTATTGTCTCATTATCCTTTTTTAGATATGCAGGGTCTTTAGTGTTATTATTTTATTCTTTCTTGATATTGGCAATTTGTGTCTTCTCTCTTTTTGTTTCTTTGCTTTTGAAAGAACTAACATTTGTTAATTTTTTTATTTTTTGTGTGTGCTCAATATAATCAATTTCAGCTCTTATCTTTATTATTTCCTTCTTTCTATTTGTTGAAGTAGGAGTTTAGATAATTAATTTACGTATTTTCTTTTTCTAATATAAGCACTAACACTATAAGTTTCCCCTAAGTATGGCATTCCCATCTTACAAATTTTGATATATTGTATTTTCATTTTTTTTCTGTTCAAAATATTATTTAATTCCCCCAAGGCTTCCTCTTTTACCCAGAGATCACTTAGAAATGTAATGTTTAATTTTCAAGATTAAGATTTTTTCTGCTCTCTTTCTGTTATTAATTTCTATTATAAATCCATTGTAAATAGAGAACATACTTTGTATAAGTATGCTATTTTTGTCAATGTTTGTTTTCTAACCTAAGATATCTGTAAGAAATGTATTAGATACTTTTCTATGTGCACATCAAAATGCTGTGCACTCTGCTGTTGTTGCGTTGTCTAGTAGACCCAGCAATTATGAAGTAAGGGTGTTGTTCAGTTCTTCTCTATCCCTGCTGATTTTGTTTACTAACTTTATCAATATCTGAGAAAAAGCATTAAAGTCTCTAGGTCCATGTGTGGACTTGTCTGTTTCTCCTTTTAGAGCTGTCCGTTTTTCCTGCATGTGCTTTGAATTTCTGCTGTTTGGTGCACACACATTTAAGATGGTTATGTCTTCTTCCAAATACATTCTTTTGTTTTCATGTGACATCATTTTTACCCCCTGGTAACTTTCTTTGCTCTAAAGTCTAGTTAAGCTAATGTTAGTACAGATACTCTAACTTTCCTTTAAATTAATGTTCAGACAAAGAAATATATTGTCTGTATCCTTTTAATCTACCTATATCATTATATTTGAAATATGTTTATTGTATAGGAAATATAGTTGGGTCATTTCAAAAAATCCATTCTAATAGTAGTAGTCTTTTGAATACTATGGTTACACATTTTACATTTAATGTAATTATCGATATGTTTGAAATTATATCTACTAGTTCATTGTTTGATTTCTGTTTATATCCTCAGGTTCTTTTTGTTCCCCTATTTTCTGTTTCCTTCCTCCTTCTGGGACATTGGAGCATTGTTATTGCTTCATTTTAATTTATCTATATTGTAACAATATTTTTATCTGTCTTAGTGCTTACCCAAGGGATTAAAATATTATTACTTACAAGAGGCCTGGTGCAAAAAATTCATGCATGGGGGAGAGGGGTTCCTTCAGCCCAGCCTGCACCCTCTCTAATCAGGGACCCCTTGGAGGATATCCGACTGCCGGTTTAGGCCCGATCCTTGTAACCAGCAGTTGGACACCCTTCTCGCATCCTGGGACCGCTGGCTCCTAACCACTCACCTTCCTGCCTGCATGATCACCCCTAATCACTCTGCCTACCTGCCTGATCGCCTCTAACTTCTCTGCCTGCTTGATTGCCCCTAACTGCTCTCCCCTGCTGGCTGGTCACCCCCAACTGCCCTTCCCTGCCATCCTGGTCACCCCAACTGCCTCTGCTTCGGCCCCCACCACCATGGCTTTGTCTGGAAGGAAGTCAGACATCCAGAAGATGGCCGGTTGACCCAATCTAATTAGTATATTACCCTTTTATTGGTATAAATAGATTATATAGGATAGGATTGCTTAAATGGGGGGGGGGGCTTTTTCAGCAGGAGGAGATGCTCTTAGCAGATAAAAATACATAACCCCTATATCTAGACTAATAGCCAGCCATATGTACTATACTGACAAACCAGTCATTAAAAAATTGAACCGCTTTCTTACACCTTACACCAAACAGCTGTTACCCTTAAAACCCTCCTCAGTCCCCACCTTAGGTTCTGCCTTCTCAGTTCACCCAGATTAGGTTCTGATAGGTTGGTTTCTATGCCAGTCAGCATCAAAAGCTCCACTTCCTAGGCAGCCATTGGCTCCTCACAGTTCACCTAGATTTGGTTCTGATTGGTTGGTTTCTATGCCAGTTAGCATCTCCAGGCCTATCACCAGGCCTCTCTCTGGGCCTGATCCGCAACCTCCATGGCAGCTGTGGATCAGGCCCTGCCTCTCTCTCTGGGCCTCTCTCTGTGCCTGATCTGCAGCCTCCACAGCAGCTGCTGATCAGGCTTGGCCTCTCTCTCTCTCTCCAGGCCTCGCCAGCAGCCATGGCAGCTGCTGATCAGGCCTCACCTCTCTCTCTCTCTCCAGGCCTCACTAGCAGCTGTGGTGGCTGTGGATCAGGCCCTGCCTCTCTCTCTGAGCCTGATCCACAGCTGCCTCAGCAGCGGCGAGGTTGTTAGGGCTCTAGCCCGGCCCTGGGCCAGAGGCTAGCAAACTTGCCGTGCCTGCCTTGCTCCCCGCCCCCCCCCGCCCCACGCTGCCCCTCCTGCCCGCCTGCTGCCAGCCTTGCTCTGATAGGAGCCTGTGGGCTGCAGGGGAGGGACTGAGAGGTGCCCATGCACTTCCTGGTGACCAGTCATCCGTCTGGTCGTTTAGGTCATGATGGCCCCTGACCTTCTATAATGTAGATGTTTTCACTTTCTACTTAGAATTAATATTTTACCACAGCAAGTGTTATGCAGATACCTTACCTAATATATGTTTTTAAAATAGATATAGTTTCATTGATTTTAGAGAGAGAGGAAGGGAGAGGGAGAGAGAGAAATGTCACCAAGAGAAACATTGATCGGCTGCCTCCTGCATATCCCTTCCTGGGGTTCAAGCCCACACAGGAATTGAACTGGTGACTTCTTGGCACATGTGGCAATGCTCAGCTCCCTGAGCCATGCCAGCCAGGGCCAATCTATGTTTTCTCACCCTCCCTCCTTTGTAGTATAGTTGACTCATATTATTACATCTACCTACATTGAAAATCCATCAGAAAATCTTATAATTTTTTGCTTTCAATGGATTATATTATGAATATTTTAAATATTATGTTATATAGCCCTGGCCAGTAGCTCAATTGGTTAGCATGTCATCCTGATGTGCCAAGGTTGCAGGTTTGGTCCTCAGTCAGGGCACATGCAAGAATCAACCAATAAGTATATAAATAAGTGGAACAATAAATCTCTCTCTCTCCCTTTCCTTCTTCCTTCTCTTTAAAAAAATCAATAAATACACTTTCATAAATAATAAATATTATGTTACACAACTCTGGATCTTGCTAAAATCCTGTGAAGAATTTTTTTAAAAAAGCAGGCAGGTGAGCCAATTGCTTCAAGCCCCAAATTCAAGCCAGCCTGGGTGGTTTCTGTCAGTCCCGTTTTACTGTATTTTAGTTCTACTTAGACCAGCCCCCGTATGCCCCCTGCCTTGGCCAGTCTGGACTTGGGAAGAGGTCCGTCTCAGAGTTCAGTCCTCAGTTTATCATGCTCCGCTTCGTGCTGGGCTCCTGCAGGTGCGGCAGAGGCCTGAGCCCAGGCGTTTGGAAGCAACCCTACTGGTTTGCTTTCCTAAGCTCCCCTTTGTCTGCCATCTCCACGGTACTTCCTGGCTCCATAAGCTGCCCACCCTCCTCTTTAGATCTCTTTGGCCAGTGTGTTGTGCGTGCTCATATACCCCACTCTGAAGTGCACTTTCCACATTTGTTTCCATCTCCACAGCCAAGTGATAAGAGGACACAGAAAAAAAATCAGTAGAGATTTGTCACCTTCGCTTGGGACCCCAGTGCCTCGTATCACAGTGAACATGCCCTTCTGCACAGGTGTGGACTCTGGAGGCCCTTCTCGCTGCTGTTTTGCTGGTACAGCTGCCACCAGCACAGAATCGCACAGGGGCTGGGAAGCGAAGGCGCGGAGAGGAAAGAGTGCGCGTCAGGAAAGCTGTCCTCAGTCTTCACGGCGGGATCGGAGGCTCCGGAGCGCCTCGGTATCACCAATGTCCACTTCTGTGCTCAGTCTGACCAGGGGAACTGGAGAAAATTAACACGGGGAACTTTGAATTCTTGGCTTCTCCAATCTGCCTGCTTCCATTTACTTTTCAGAATGATCAAGCTGTTTTCTATGCATTTTCCAGGTTTTATAGCTATAATTACTGGGAGAGAGAAGGTGGTGTATGCTTACTCCATCTTACCTGCACCTGTGACCTGGAAATAATACAGACAGTAAATACAGGCATTAAAACTCCGAGAGACCAGGAAAGCTGTGAGATCTGCTCGCCCTGAGATGCCACCCAGGGCCCCGCCGAGTGCTCTGCGGGGTGTCAGAGCCAGGCCGGTTACAATCCCCTGGGCCATGGAGATTACACTGGGACCTGTACGTGTTAGACCCAAATCATTTCTTTTTCATAAATATACAATTCAGAGGCTCAGTTTGAGTTTCTGTTAAGCTCAGAACAGAACTCTGGACCACGGGAAGGATTAATTACAGCAATATTTATTTTAGAATAAAGTAAAGCTAGATAGACTGGCCAACGGGGCTGTGAGTCTTAGCTCCAGGGCGTTCATGGCAGGAAAAGCAGCGATCTGGCTGTCCCCAGACCACGAAGTCACAACGCGAGTGTGGGTTCTTCCCCAGCGAGACCCTGCAATGAGCCTTCCCGCAAGAAACTTCCTGCAGGAATAATTCCTACCCTCTAACTCGTCTTTAACTTTATTGCTGGGATTCCCAACAAGGATGCTCCTTGGTGCCAAAGCCACAGTGGCTGCTATGATGTGGGCGCCTCTGTGAGGAAGGAGCTCCAGAGCGCTTCGCAGGCTCCGCTCGGTGGCCCGTGACGGTGATGTTTAGTCGCTCCAAACTCGGATTCCATTTATACAGTGGATGTGACAGCACATGCGAATGGGTGACACAGCACACGCGAATGGGTGACACAGCACATGCGAATGGGTGACACAGCACACGCGAATGGGTGACACAGCACATGCGAATGGGTGACACAGCACACGCGAATGAGTGACACAGCACACGCGAATGGGTGACACAGCACACGCGAATGAGTGACACAGCACACGCGAATGAGTCCAGAAGTTGCTCTTCTTTGTCACTCAAATGGATCATCCCACCCCCTCAGGGTTGAGAGGGCGTGAAGGCTTTATGTTCATGTGGGACTAGAGCACTATTTGAACTCTCAGAAGGAAAACAAACACATGAGAATGAAATTCTTGTCTGCGGGGAACAGCTGCTCGGTCCTCCAGCAAAGCACCCGTGACCAGCAGGCCTTGCCCTGGGGCCGGCAGGCCAGGAAGCACGTACAAGAAGCGTCCGCCTCAGCGGGCATGGCTTACACAGAAGCTCTGCCCAGTCCAGCCTTGCTGTCCTTTGATGTGTAGAAGCTTGTTTCTCAGGCTTGTATCTTGGCTGCTGACTCTTGCCACCGCCTTTCCACTTTGTGTGTAGCTGTGAGTCCATTCATTGCTCCAACCATTATGGCCCAGATGGTCCCTCCTTCCACTGGCCCAGAGTAAGGTTCTGTACTTCAGGTCCTGCCCTAAGGCCAACGGCAAGGAGAAGCTGAAAATACCCCTCCTCTGCTCCCAGGCCTGTGTCCTGGTGAGGTGCTCAGCCAGCTCCTCTGCCAGAGGGGACCGTGCCCGCAGGACGAGCGTACAGGCTGAAGTGGCTCCTGCTCCCCGTCCGGCCTTCCAACTCGCTTTCTGGGCTCCAGAGCTAGTGGGTGAACATGGAGCAAGAATTACCTTCTTTACAGAGAAATATTTGACAAAGTTAAAATTGCTTGTTTCTAATGAAATAATATTTATTTTATTGCAAATATACATATAAATGTATATGTACAATACACAGTAGACATGATAGTCCATAGCCACCAGTAAGAGTGGACGCATTTGCTGATGCTGGTGACCACTAAGAAAGCCGTGGGAGTGTGCTGAGTGTCTGCAGTGGCTGGAGAATCCCCTCTCCCTCTGTCCAGTCCAGGAGACCAGAGGCCCAGCCCCAGTGCCGTCCCAGGGGGCCGAGCACCGTCTACTTTAGATCAGCCTGATCCAGGCTGTGTGCCCTGCCTGGCAGTCTCTCTGCTCACCAGGGCCCAGGTCGCCAGTGCCTAGGCTGGGAGCTCCTCCCAGGGGTCTCTGTTTTACTGTCTTCCCAGTGAGAAAGCCCTTGAGATAACCCTGAGGTGGCCCCACGGGAGCCCCGTGGGGTTTTTCATGGGCATGTGGTAGCGCATGCGAGTCCAGAACCTGGAATTGGGAGGCGCCGACTTGAGGCCTCTCCAAGTGACTGTGGGCAAAACCCGGAGAGCCTTCCTCACCAGGTCAGGTAGGGATTCTGGCTCTTGGAAGGGACAGAACTTGACTAAGATGAGCTTCAGCGTCTGATCATCCAAGGCAAGACTCACTGCTGCTTGCAGTTCAAAGACACTGGGTCCGTTGACATAGTTGGGGCTTAAGATGAAGACTCCTCTTCTACTTTTCTTGATAATGCTCACGATGTCTTCCGTGTACACTGGAAAGAAAGGATTTAATTAATTGCACTCTTATTGCTAAACCTTGAGTCACAATAACCCTGGTTCCCCCAGACCTACCCAGAGGTTCCCCGCCAGGCAGAGCGGACCACTCCACTAACCTCACCAGCTACCGCCGCCCTATCCACAGCGGGGATACACCCTACTGCCCAGCGCCTCAACCTGCAGTTCTCCCCGCATGCTGTCTCCCCAAAGGCCACTCCTTTAGGAGCAAAGCTTGTGGAACAGGGGGCGGGGTCAGAGCGCAGGCTGTCCAGCCTCTGGTAGATCTGAATGGAGAAGGCAGAGGCCGTGCCCAGGCTCCAGCAGCCCGAGGCCGGTGCCGCGTTGGTGGCCGGCAGCGTCCCCCATGGCAGGGGCTACCCAGTGGGAAGGACAGGGTCATCCTGTGAGGTGCCAGGGAAGCTCTGTCCTAGGCCCCAGGGCCACTCCTCTCCCCTGGGATGGAGGCTCACGTGATGGACACGCGGCTGCCCAGGTGTCTTAAGCTCACAGCCCTCCCAGCGGGGCCAGCCCCAGCAGTGAGGGGACAGATTGGCACTGACCGCCCCTGTGAGCTATCGCTCCTCTTGCGGGCCGGGCCTACCTCCTCCCGGAGCCACGTCTCTTTCAAGCAAACACAAGGTGTAGCCATATTTGTTTTCCAAAACCTCGGGGAACAGCTTCAAGGCCAGGCAGTCCTCACTCACGGGCGAGGCGGGCTCGCTCTCAGAGGCGCTCCCCTTGGCGTAGGAGATGAAAGCATCAAACTCCTTTTTATCTGGAGAGAGGATGATAGCAGTGTAAGCCACGCACACCTACCTGTGCTCCAAACATATGGCAAATGGGTGTGAAGCAGGGTGTGGGGTCGTCACTGAATTGATGACAAATAAAAGCCAGCAGCCAGTCCATTTCAAACCCCACTGGGCGTGTGCCCTTGTCGGCCCAGGAGTCGCGTGGGTTCACTTTCCGAAGCTCGCGGGCCTCTGCTGGTGGCCGCGTGGGC